AGTTCACTGATAGTTCTGCGGCTGTAGGTGGTATTTCTGGACGAGATGCAGGTGGTGGTGGTTGTGGTGGTCGATTGAAGAGCTTTTCGAAGTGGTCAGCCCATTGTTTCCTTTGTTTCTCCTCTTTGGTAACTAGCTTTCCTTCACTATCTCTCATTGGTTTCATCTGCGTTGATCTCCCCCTCCGAGATAGACCTGGTAACCTGGTTATTTGATTCAGTGTCGTCAGGTCTCTCCTACCTACAGCCTGTTCTGCTTCACTTGCCAATGTGTCGTAGAAGTGTATTTTGTCTTTGCGCGCACTCTCCTTCACTTCTCTGTCCAGTGTTATAGGTTTTATGGGTTGTGTTCAGTTCCTCTTTCCGTTGTTCATCCTTGCACTGCAGTAGTTCATCTTCCACTTCACCATCTTCCTCTCCCTGCTCTATCAGCTTCCATGTATCTGTGGAGATCCATTCCATTCCATTCCATCCCTTGTCTTGCTTCTTCTTCCTTCCTAACATGGTTATGCAGGTTTTCTTCCATGTCTCTTTCAGAGCCTTCCAGTGTTCTTCCACCCAGGATTCCTCGGAGATATTGCTTAATGTTTCCCATTTTGTCCTGATAACTGACTTGAAGATAGATGTCCTTTGTAGTTTCGTCCTTCAGTTCAGTTTCTGTTCTGGGTGTTCAAGTTAAACTGTGTGTGGTCTATGACCACCCACTTCTTTGAAGGCTTTCAACTTGATTTTGAAGTTAGGTTCCTTGCACAAGATAGTGATCGGTGTGAACCTACATCTGCTCCCCTTCTTCATCTGATCTTGTGTCTAGTAGGTTGGGTGTGCCTCCACTTTCTTGAGATTGAGATGAAGTCGATCTGATTTTTAGTGTGTCTGGTGTCTGGTGAAATCCATGTGGCTTCGTCAATATCCTTGTGTTTGTGCACAGTGCCTCCAATCACCAAATCGTTGAATGCGCAGAAGTCAGCAAACAGTTCTCCGTTCTCATTCATTTCACCAAGTGCTTCTTGACCCATGATTGGTTCTCTTCCTGTGTTGTCCGCTCCGAGTTTGGCCTTCATGTCGCCCATTGGAATTTTGATGTCATTGACTGAAGTCTTGTCCAGTGTTGATTGCAGTTGTCTGTAGAATTCCTCCTTCTTCTCCTGATCTGCATTATTTGTAGGTGCATAGCGCAGCATTGAGTGATTGTCACCTTCCTTCCTTCCTTTTGAGTTGAACCTTGATGTCATGATCGTGATAGTGGAGGAGATTGGTTCCCACCGCATGAGAGCCTTCGATGCATTTTTTGGGGGGTGGGGGACATGATGGTGGCCACTCGGAAACTCAGTGTGCTCGTGGTTCTCGTCTGGGTGACAATATCGGAGTAGATTATTGACTCTTCTCCAGTTGACTGTTTGGAGAGTTCACTTACATTCCATCTACTTTCACAGATTCCAAGCATTTCTATGCTATGCCTTCTCATCCCTTTCGCAATCTGGGCAGCTCTGCCAGTCAGCTCAAAACATTGTTCGGACATTCCGTGTCCCCATTCTTACTTTTGCTTTCATCGAGAGAAGAGAGATGAATTGGCTTCCCGAAGGTTTCCACCAATCGGCGTCATTTCGTCTCTCCGAGTCTGGTGAGGAATAAGTTTGTTTTTATTTTTTATATTTTGTTTGTGCTTTGAAGTTTGTCTGGCGATTGGATTGGTTTTCTGGGGTAGAGTTGCTAGCCCTATGCCAAATTTTCTGTCTTTATCAGGGCTTAGAACCGGCTAGTAACTAGTGAGCTAGTTAAGCGGGCAGGTCGGCTTTTAAGTGCATGCACCAAATATAAGTCACTAACTACATGCTTAATTGCTTGAAATATCCTTAGAATAATTAATTTCTATGGTAACATATATTCTGATAATGGAAGGTAATTCTGGTGCAAGTTTAAATCTTACATGCATATTTCTATCTAATTGTTGAAGGGCAGAAATTATGTTGTCATAGTGTACAGTCTTGTGATTAACATTGGATCTTTATGATTTTACTAAAGGTGCTTGGTTTTTAGATAAAGAAAACGTGAAATCGCGATAAGGAGACAATTAGCTGAGCACAGTTCACTTTGTTTGAAGATTGTGCCACCCACTAAGAGAGAATTTCGGTTAGTACATCGACTTACTAAAACTTTATTTATGCAATCCTTATGGTATGAAGAGTGGCCACATCATGATATCCTTTCTGTATACTGTCGTTTCCCTTCATCATGCACGTGGTTTCAGAAGACATTCTTTCTTCAGCTTCTCAAACATTGATCTATTCGATAGCGATTTCCGAATCGACTTAGATTACATAGGTGCTCGACCCTTCTATGTAAAGATGCAGATACCAAGCAGGATCTTCTGAATACGTTTTATGCATCGATCACTTCACTTATCTGTAAATATGTATCACACACATATGAACTATTGACTTCCGAAGTCTCAGGTTAGATAAAAAATCTCGAGTGAATTTTATCACTTAGTACCTACTTTGGTATCGATAACATATCTGAATGCCGGTCAGTTTGTGGGTACAGTGATGAGCAGCGAGTTCTGTCTTACTGCATAGCTACGAAACATGACCATTTCAGGTGTAAGTTTGCTTAAGGTTTTAGGTAGTTGACCACAACTAACATAGTAGCACTACTTGCATGCCCTTAAACTTCTATTTAGGTGATGCAGAAGTAATAAAAGGTTGTCATGTAAATAAACCAAATCACTAAATGAGGCTAAAACATGCATTATGTAAGCCAATCCATAGATGACATTTTCGAGACAGCTCTGAAGAAGACATATAGTGATGCTGTAGGTCTATTACTATATGAGAGTGCTTTCGACTTTAGGCATGTGGACGATATCGTTTCACTATGTACCAACAAACAAGCTACTGAAGTTACACTGAGTTATCTGTCGGTCAGTGTACTCAAGTATGTTATATGTTTTGCACCATCGAAGTGCAAAGTGGTTCTACAAGATTGTTAGAAGCATGTGCTTGTACCCAACCTTGATAATGAATTTTCTGAGGTTGTTAAAGCCTTCTTTTAGCTGAGTAGTTATATGAGTGCTGGTAAGGTGCGACTGATGAGGTTTCCCATCAAGAGGCAAACTCCAATCTTAGTTACCTATGGTGCCTTAGTGACGTTAGCCTAGTTGTAAAAAGTTGAATGTACAACACGTAGGTACAAGTAGCCATCTTTTTTCATGTGAAACCTGGCCTTACCTGGCCCAGGATGTTAAATGACTCTGCATGTTGGACCAACATTATCTTCGTAGAATTTTCAAAATATGTTTGAAAATCACGTATGTAATTCTAAGGTGCAGTAGCATGTGTGTCGGTGGAATTGAGATCCTAATTCGCTGAGTAAGGTAATCTTGAAAAAACCAGCTTTCGTGGTTTGAGCTTGTATTACGGATATCGCACAAGTGGATTTCACACCGTTCGCTTGCTAAGGGACTGCAAGAGTAAAAGGTAGGGACTGGGGTAGAATAAAATTCTACCTTAGTTGATTTAGTAGGTGTGCCACACGGTTAAACAGTATTGGTTAGTGGATTATGCTTCGGAGACAATTAATTGTGCATATTCGTATTGAGATAACTCCGCAATCTGACGAGTAACTTTAAAGGTCACTCTAGCAACTACTGAGATAACCAATCAGGTCTTGATATTCCGGCTAGGAAAATAGTTTTACACAAAATAAGGAAACGAGATTATTGTTACGGTAGCCTATAAAAAATAAGTATCTGGAAATTCAGAAAAACGTACGCCTCACAGAAGCGTGTGATATAACACCCAAAACCTGATTTAACGGTTTCCTATTCATTTTTCCCAACTATTCAGGATCTTCAGGTTGCTTTTAAATTATAAGATACCAGTTTAAAATATCGGAGAATTGTTTCTTCCACTTTCATAGATTTATTTAGCAGATACAAATAGAGATGGCAGGTTAAATGTTTCTACAAATGTCATCTACTTGCTAAGTGCAAATAGAAACAAATGCGTTATTGTATATATTGGGAAGTACAAACTTATATTGTGTGTGGAAAATCTCAGTTGTCTGTAGACCGCAACTAAAATTTGTGAGTACAGCTTAGTGACTATACTACAAATTCGGCATATGCAATTCAGCTATACCAATTCAAATAATCTGATTGTCGCAAATGAATTTGGTTGAATACATCAGAAGAATTGCAACAGTTCATTGGTATTTAGATCGGCATCAAATCTCCTGTTGAATAGTTTGAATACTAGCTAGCAAATTAAGTAGTTGAGTGATTATTTCAAGAAATTATTACTTAACTCTCAATGATCTCTTTTCTGATCCATGTCTAGCAGTGAAAAAAGTGCCATCTGCAATACAATATATGGTTGCCATAAAAAACAGCACTTTGGAAATCATTTTAGTAGTGAATTCTGTGGTAAAAATGTTCAGGGCTAAAGAAGAATAAAGATCACATTTTGAGATTCATTTTTATAGTATTGGTAAGTATTTTGATAGTTAAGTTTGTGGATATTTTAATAGTAAAGTTAATAAGAACTTAATTATTCTCATGAAACACATCGATATGTTATATGGTTGAAGAAAAATCAGCAAGGAACTTTAAACCAAGGTCTTACACCTAACAATCCTTGTCAGAGAGGAGCATCTACAACCTCGGGTGAACGCATACTTTTGCATATATTCACCCAGTGCTACAGACATAGGCATTATCACATACACTGATTGCTTGCTGGCCTAGTACTGACTGTTAATGAATGCAATGGATGATGCAGGGTGATCACTAAGTTAGGGGACTCACCATTACGGTGCACTTTGACTAATGTTAGGTAGCTGAAAGCGATCGTCAGTAACCAATCAATAGATCTTCAAAACATTTTCGGGGTAACTTCAAGTGAAAACATTTAATTTGGTTTAAGCGAATTCACTGTTGAAAAAAGTATCCTCAAAAGCATAGAATTAACATCAGTATAATAACTTTTACAATAAACTGCTTACCAAAAATTTTCCTGAAGGATTCGGTTGATAAATATTATTGAATGAACATGAGGAAAAACTGCAGTCATTACGAAAGTGTATTTGCATATGTCTGATACATTCATCAGGATTTCCTGTACCCACAAAAGAAAATTGATCCATTTCCTGAAAAATAATTATTAATAAGTTTCAAAACATGAAATAATTTTTTCGTAGCATAATTTAATTTTCAAAGGAAAAGTAAAAGATATTCGTATTTAGGCTTCACATTCTTTGGTAGTTAGAACCAAGCTTGTGAATCTTACGTGATTGAAATCTGTGTTGTTTAGTGTCGTTACCAATAATATATTTGGGATATATCTGAGTCCTAGCAAGACTGCGCTGTGTTAGATAAAGATAACACCCTATGATCTTCACCGGATGGTTTTCAATGAGAACACTGTTTGTACCACAACAGATGAGCAGCTGAAAAACTACTTAATTATGAGAAATATCAACATGAACAGTGCAATTTTTAAATCATTTGAAAATTGATTAACCTACTTAACGTGTTCCTGGCTCATGCAAGTCAGATATCCAGGTCCAGGTGACCTGAAATTATTTTGTACTAGGAACAATGTTGGTGAACAACAGTAATAGTAAGCGAGTTGAACTGTGATAGAATCATTATTCCAAACAACTTTTCCTGATGGTTCGCTTTCAAAACATGGAACTAAACAAGATATTCTTAAATGCAGTATGCTAGTTATCTTCTAAATTGTATAGGTAAGTTTTAATATAATTCGTAACATTAGTAACAACTATGGCCTGGATGTTTATAGTCTTGTAAGTTGGATGTGAATTCATAAGTCTGATACTTATTTTTCTTTTTCCTTTGTACGGCTGTTGAATTTATTAGGTAAACGATCTAATTCATCAACTAGACGTCCATTAGCGTTTATTTGCAGTATAGCGACACAGAGAAAACAGAAGATGCACTTAATTTGCCAGTGGTTTACTAGTGACTCTTTAAGTCACCAATGATTAGAAGAATTACTCGTAAATTATCACAATCCAGGTTTTCGTTGATATCAAAGATTATGCAGCTTACCAGTAATATCTTGGTTAATTTAGTTAACAGAGGTGAATTTGACAATCTAGCGGTAAAAAGGAAGTGGTGAGCAATTAATTACATAGCTAGTTTCATTGAATACTCTAGTTACATTAGTGGTAAAACGGCTTATTAAAAATACGATTCACATTTGATTACTGTGTTAATTTGCAACGCGTTACCACCGCTTGATCGTATTCACACTGACTGCCTAGTCAGGAATTCTCATCCCAATCCAAATTTGAGTGAGTCAGAAAGAGGGAACATCATATTGTTTATCATTTGACTATCTGAGATAGACGTGGTTTGGCAGACTAGTATTTATACTGGATGATGAGTGAAGGTGAAATGAAAATTTGGACCGCAGCCGGATTCGAACCAGTGACCATCGGGTTACCAGCCCAGTGCTCTACCAACTGATCTAAGAGATCCGACAGCTGACCACAATTTCATTTTACTTAAATCACCAGGGTTACTTTTCGTAGATAAGTTGGTAGAGCACCAGGCGGGTAACCCGGTTGTCGCCGGTTAGAATTTGGCCACCGTCCAAATTTTCATTTCACCTTCACTCATCACCCAGTGTAAATACTAGTCTGCCAAACCACGTCTATCTCAGATAGTCAAATGATAAACAATATGATGTTCCCTCTTTCTGATTCACTCAAATTTGGATTGGGTTGAGAATTCCTGACTAGGCAGTCAGTGTGAATACGATCAAGCGGTAGTAATGCGACACAAATTCACATGGTGGTCGGGCAAATACCCTTGGTGATTGAGGTGAAATAAAAATCTGATCAGCTGTTGGACCTTGCAGGTCAGTTGGTAGAGCACCGGGCCTGTGACCAGGTTGTCACTGGTTCGAATCCGGTCATGATCCAAATTTTCATTTCACCTTCACTCATCACCCAGTATAAATACTAAGAATATAGTTTTTCTTAGAGAAAACCTAAAGAACCTGTGCATATGAAGCCAATGAGTTTAAGAAAACTGAACAAACAGCTATATGTGTTAAATACATTATTTGATAGAATGATTTATCTACAAATTATTTGTAAGTTCCACCGTCCACATTGGCGTTTCTCATAGTTTTTCAGTTATTTAACTATCCAATTGTGATGTCAACATGGTTTTCACTGAAAAACACCCAATAGCTATCAGAAAGCATGGTGTTTTATGTAGAAAAGTGAACATGATGAGTGGGAAGAAACTACTGAAACTCATCTGTAAATTAGTTGATCTGAAAAATATGACTCTCTTGTGCACAGATTTCCGCCGGATACATTACTGTGGATCTCAGCTGCCAACTAGCACAACAGCTATCAGATATTTAGATTACTGTGATCTGGCACGGGAAATATGCAAATCAGCTTTATTAGTTTTTAGTTACTCATTTTGTTCTTTAGCATATTCCAAAACTGGTTAGTCATCTGAAATATCTGCCAGATGAATAAAATACTCAAATATGTACGGTTTTTAGAAAGGTGGAAACTAAAGGCAATCACCGAAGTTTATTTATCGTAGAATATTTTCATATTTGAACCAAACTGTTAAGATTTCTTCTACAATGGAATGCTAAAAGTTTATCGGCCGGTAAGTGCAAAGCATATTCAAGTAAGTGTTATGTTCATCTTATGTAACGTTTCAGCTATGAAGCTGGAAGACATTAAATATGTATCATATTTTCTGTAACCATACTGTTATTACAGAATACTACTAAAACATTCACTATATGGACACAATATCGCGTGTGAAAGGTGATGAGTGAGAATATATGATGGAAAAGACAGCAAACGATATATTAGAGTAATATTTTCCACAAGAGAATTAAAATTCACAAAAACAGATTGTTCACAGCCACCTTTATTACTTGTTGAGAACAAAGAAAAGCAATTGAGCAAAAAGTTCTGAATTTTGTTTTAAGTAGTCAGTAGGTAGGCGAGTAAATGTCTACATATAAACACAACCTTAATTTCTCATACATGTACTTCAAAAAACAGATGTTATTAAGTGAAGCTCTAGAGAGTGCACCTGCACCTAAGTAAATAGGTTTTTTAGGGTCATTTAACCTAATATAGAAAAAAAGTATTCTGTGTGAAGTAGTTGAACCAGTCATAAGAACCTCTGGTTTTTCGAGTCGTGAAATGTAAATTAAAGCAGTGTTAAAAAATCCAGATTTTAGACTTATCAGACCTATATTCTGCTGAAGCTGTGACTAACGCTATGAAACCTTCAGAAAAATCGTTTTTTTGACTTCCTAAACACACGGATTATATTAAAACCTACTTACATAATGAGTATATTAAATTTAGTGAAAATATATTTATTCCCTAGCAAAGCACACTTTGTGATTTATACTATTAATTTAATATTGCATATACCTATTGGCAGACATATACAGCTCCTACTATGCATTTCATAGCAATGAAACAATTAAGGACAGCAGAAATTCATTCCAAATCAGTAAACACTCATACTTTTGAAGGTAAGGGAAGTTAATCTATCTGTTATTTGAATTGTTTCCATACTAAGGGTCACTTTTTATTTGCACTCACTTCACTAAGCAAATGAAGATGCATGCTGTTACGTTTCTGTATTAAATTTGTTTATTTGATATACATACTGGGTGATGAGTGAAGGTGAAATGAAAATTTGGATCATGACCGGATTCGAACCAGTGACAACCTGGTCACAGGCCCGGTGCTCTACCAACTGACCTGCAAGGTCCAACAGCTGATCAGATTTTTATTTCACCTCAATCACCAAGGGTATTTGCCCGACCACCATGTGAATTTGTGTCGCATTACTACCGCTTGATCGTATTCACACTGACTGCCTAGTCAGGAATTCTCAACCCAATCCAAATTTGAGTGAATCAGAAAGAGGGAACATCATATTGTTTATCATTTGACTATCTGAGATAGACGTGGTTTGGCAGACTAGTATTTACACTGGGTGATGAGTGAAGGTGAAATGAAAATTTGGACGGTGGCCAAATTCTAACCGGCGACAACCGGGTTACCCGCCTGGTGCTCTACCAACTTATCTACGAAAAGTAACCCTGGTGATTTAAGTAAAATGAAATTGTGGTCAGCTGTCGGATCTCTTAGATCAGTTGGTAGAGCACTGGGCTGGTAACCCGATGGTCACTGGTTCGAATCCGGCTGCGGTCCAAATTTTCATTTCACCTTCAGTCGTCACCCAGTATCAGTAATACAAAATTTTCCGTATCTCCGGTATATGTGTTGAATCATTGCTATTACACAGATTGGGTATTGATTCGATGAATAAAGATTCAGTAATCAATCTTTTTCTCCACTAAATTATATGTAGACTAAAGTGCAGTGGTTTTATCTCATCCTAGTGTGTGGTTATGTGTTAATACATGCTCTGCAATGGCTCGGTATGGTTTTTAGATTGTTGATCTTATTGAGGTTTGTCATTCTATATTTAGCTGGATTCCTGAGTTCCGCTAATCTAATTGACCTTTACCAGCAAGTTTGACCTATATACTTGACCCCACAGTCATAGAATTTGATAGAATATATTATTCCGATGAATTGACTCTATCGGATCCTTAAGCCGACAGAGCTTATCTCTGAGTGAATTTACAGGTTTAAATGCCACCTTAATTCAGCCTTATTAAGAATCCTACGTAAAATTTCTGATGTTCTTTCTTGATATGGCCACACAACAAATGCTTCGGACTTATTTCTACATAAGATGCAAAATAAAAACAGCAATATAAATGTGAATAATAGCGACAACACGAATGAATTTGATATGATTAGATATTTTCATTAATCATGCTATCTTCGCTCAAAGTTATGTCTACATTAATTGACACCCAATTAAAAAGATAATAAGCTTTGCCAGCCAGAAAACTGACTGCTAGCTTGCTTAAGTATCTGACATCTATAAACCTTATGATATATCTATGTAAGGTTTGATCTATTTCAACGTTCTTTTGTTCTCTGGACAAACTGGTTTGTGGTGAGACATTCATTTTCACAATGAGCATCATAAAATGGTAGAATGTGAGGATTTCTGCATGAGTAACTTAGTATCCTATCCTAACAATATACTAATAGTAATTATTCATTTATAGTGTTGATGATACCCTTTAAGCGTCTATTTAAATAAGCTGCTTTGATGTATGACCGTAAAGCTGGTTATTGCCTTCCTGACTAACTGAAAGATCAGATTTATTTCAGCGTGCCTAGTGATTGCTAAGGGATTCTAGTACTAGGCTTCTAAAAATTCTCTGATTTTATTCTTACTTTTCATTATCTAAGATTTATTGTTTCTACCATTTAAACTAATATTCACAATTGTGTACAAGCTCTAATACAGTGAACTGTATCTGGTTGGCTCCAATTAACTGTTATTGATTTTTATGGAGATGAAGACTTTTATCCTTCTGACTTTGCTTTTCTTGCAGTCATTTCAACTTGCTTTTGTAGATAACGTTTGACGTGCTTTCTTCTGCTATCATAGACTTCTATTCTGTCTAATACGGAATGGCAAAATTTTTACAAGCTTTTCAGTATTTTATTCATTACCTCTATCAATCTCTCTGCTGTTTTCCAAGATTGATCAATAGTGAATTCAATGAACACTTTTTTAGTTAGTTTCGTTAATAGATGTTGTTGTTCTAAGAGGAATTCACCAGACAGCTTCCTTCACCTCTCTGGAAAATAAACGTATCCCAATTGATTTTCATTTATTTGGAATAAAGTCTGTATTAAAGTAGTCCTATGGATTGTTGGCAACTCAAAGATTTAATTGCGAGTATCGAAAAAATTGTTTTTAGTCATAAATTTTGTCGACCTTTTCAGAATCTTTTCTTTACCGTATACTTTTCTGAGAGAATGTTGGCCATCATAATCGACAAACACATTTCTCATCTATAGTTAAAGAAAGATGTGGAAATCGGAAAGCACGTAGCGTGCTACAAAGCAAAATATTATTAGATTATCATTTTATAGTCATTCCACAGGATGTTTATATTTATTGCTTTACAACTAAATGAAACTGTTGTTTAGTGTATAAAACAAGATAATCACCTACAGGGGGTTGGAAGATTTCATCCCGAAATGTTTTTCTGACATGATTGCCTGTTAAACAGCTTCCAGAAAACCATTCACTTGCATTATACTTTTTTGATCGGAAACCTTGAAGAAGACAAGGATTAGGTATTTCAGTGAGTTTTGTTGATCTTGCCTATTTCATTTGAAGCGGGTTTCAAAAACAAATGAAAATATTAAAAGTTGACTCAAAATTTGACTCTTAAACAATGAAAATAATATCAATAGCAAATTCACAGTTCATGTAATCAGGGAATAATCATGTAAAAATGAGAAACAGTATGAGTTGTATTCATTTTGTTTTAAACTTTCGCAGTGATTTCAGTGTTCTTTTTGGAGTCCCAATTATTTTTGGAAAATTTAACACTATACACTCAGTGCTTTCGGAATCAGAGGTAATACTAATGGTTTGTGATCTAAAACAGCATGGTATAATGATAAAGCGTTAAGATAGATAGATAGATAAACAGACGGACAAAATCAAGGTAGAACGTGACACAGAAGTGCATCGATTCAAACTGCCACATTTTGCAGTCACCTACAAAGAACAAGTGAGTAGAAAAGGAGTGATGACCTAGAAAACAATGTGTGATGGTAGGGAGAATTTGAGGAAAATAAAGGTTATTGCGAATATTCAAACTTTAGAATATGTCACATAGTGAATACATCTGCACCACTGTAGCCGAGTTTCAGCCATGTTACCAAGGATCTCCAACCATCGTCTCCAAAACCTCAGTCAGCCAATCTACACCTTATCTAGTTCAAGCTAACAGTCGGAGACCTCATGGACTGATTTCATGTCTCGGTTTGGCCACTCTGAACCTTCTTTCAACCTGTTCGAACTTCGGCTAATATTACACTTTGAACGATGTATTCACAATAAAATAGCTTACATAATTTATGTACTTAAAAAACCAATGGGAGCTCAATAAATAGCAAGTACTAAAAGATGAGGTAAAATCGTCAAACTCTTCATCAGATTTATGTTAACCGAGGTAAACATGTCCAATATCTGAATGTCTAGTTGTTGACAGTTAAGTTACTAAATAGGTTGTAAGAATGCCAACATTTAGGTCTTGACACAGAACGCTTAAAATGATTCATCTGTGGGACACTTTCAAAGTTATTATTTTGATTTTAAAAGCTCTTAACATTGTTTCTACCTGAAAAGTACTAGTTTAAAACAGAACCACATTCTTTTTTAATAAGCAGTCATCATTTTGTATGAGGATTTTCAATGCCTTCGCTTGTCAGTGTGGTGTAATCTAACTGAGTCAACCTGGAAATCTCTGATCTGAATGTTATCGAAAAAACGAACTATGCTGATGTTGCTCTATGAACTAATGTTCGAACATCTATCAGGAGAAATATAAATTAATTAAATGACTTTTTTAGGTGGTAACATCCTGGAATATACATAGTTGTTAGTATATGTAAAACCATGAAAATGAAAATATTTGTTTCGTATATCACAACCTAGAAACAGATTGCATAGATTTGTCAATAGACAACTGAGTTGATGAGCAAAATCATGAGCATTTAGATACATACAACTCACTGCTATTGAAGTCATTAAACGCCTTTCAAATTCAGACTTTCCATAGCATAAAAAACTGTGACTATATACCAAAAAATTGTTTCCATACAATCGGAGGGGATAATAATATAAATGCTCCTTTGGAATAGTTGAGTACGATCCAGGAATAAATGCTATTTGTGTACTAGCTCCACCTAGATCCAAGGAACCGACCGTTTCAGCAGGACTTGTTCGTTTCCCCTAAAAATGTACAAGTAATAACTATGAATGAGATTGTGATATATAAGGATACAAAAATCTTACTGTTAACCTTCTGAAACACTGATAACGTTTGTTGGCTACTAGCATTAGGATATGGGGGTTGCAAACATCTTTTTTAGGCCCATTATAGTAGATGACGGTGAGTTCAGGGATATCTGAAGGCAACACCCATTGGCTGTACCTTCCACTGACATCTATTATCAAATACTATTAAGCAATATTAAGATACAAATAGCCAACAATTTTACTTTGAAAAACTCATAAACGTATGTAACATAACAGCGGGAAACAGTAATAAGACAAATTTCAACAAGGCTTTGAGGTGAGTGATTCACTCTGCTTATGATATAAACAAATGACCACTGACATAATCAATAAATTTGGAAGAATAATTTGAGTATTGACAGGTTCACTTTAGTGTTGCATCTCCTTGGAAAAATTCATGGAAGATATCTATCCGGTCAAGGGACTCACAAAGTGTAGACTATCGGTTTCTTATTAATCACTCTTTAGATGGTAGCTACTCCCATTCATGATGTCACTTTACTGAGAAAAATTTTTAAATGCAGGATATTAATAGAAAAACGGGATTAGTAATTTATGATCAATAACATCATCACTCTACATGACTCTTTTACACTAAGTCCAGCAGAAAAACTTTACTACTGCTACCAATGTGATCATTCAAAACTCTATGAGCCAATTATATTGTAGATACGTACTGATTTTCCTGTTTTGTTTGAGAAATGTTTCATAGACGTATGAGCAACTAAAGAATATCAGCACAATGTGTAACAGAGCCGTCACTTAATAAAGGTAAGTCATTTACGCACGGAAGATAGCAAGATTCGGAATGGATGCATAAGTGATTGTAAATCAGAGAATAATATTTGGGAAACACTGGAAGTTATATAAAAGTGTCCATACTTGACAAATAGATCTTATTGACCCCACATAACATTTATCCCTATTCGATCATACCAACAGAAATCTTCACACTTATATACTTTACCAGCATGGTATTTTGCGCTGAATTTACTTGACTGAAATGTATGACAAAGTTAGTAATTGAGCCTGTGAGCAGCTAGTAATATGTAATATTGAGAAAGCTAACCCCGTAATCATAATTGCGAAAATGGTAGTGCTGTATCTGCGGACGAAAAGAATGGGAGTTCAGTTTTCAAGTTTATGGGGGTTGATTACTGTTAACATCATTTGGAGAACCACTGAAAATTTGGGACCAATGGATAGCTATTTTGTCCTAGAATGAAACTCCAGTTGTAGATGTTAGTGATTCTATAGGGGGTCGAAGCCAGGTCCGTCAGGTCTCGTGATGAGTACGTTGTCATTAAGTCACTGGATCGGAATCTAGTCTCCACATTCTCTTAATTCTTTCTGTTCACGATATACCCTGAGCATCACTCAGTGTTATCTGTGAGTATATATTTCCACATACATGTCAAAAATGGGTGTGAGATGTGATGTGAAACAATTGTACACCACCACCTTCATTCGTTGACAGCACACAGCATAAAATCTGTCCACCTAGACAGTCTAATGAACGGAAAATCACTTTCTTCTAGATCACCTCAACAATTCAAATTTGGTGACTGTTTTAATGAGAAGTATAGGAAATTTGTGTGAGATTTAACTGGATGACTGGGCTCAAGACCAAGAGACTAACTTTCAGGGAGCATACTTTAAGAAGCCAGGGTTTATGCTTCATGTGATGAAGCATCTAACCAGTGATCCGAATAGCTCATATATGAACTCTGGTGTCATTTAGAATGCACTAATCATACTTGTCTCAGATAATCAAAATAAATACCATATGAGAATTTTTGGCATGTTAATTATTGCAAACAATATTTACAAGAGATATCATTATTTCATGAACTTACTTCTTGGATATTACCTAAGATATTATTGACTGATACCCAACCATAAAGACCTTCCTCAGCCCCATATAACAAACGAATCCGTTCATTAGGTGTTTCAATTTGCAATCCAGACTGTATTAAATACTGTCGAAGTACTGCAAATAAGTCCAAACTTCCTAGTGGATCTTCAATTCTAGAAAAAGATGAAGGCATGAATTAACCAAGGATAGAAAGATAAACTTTACGGAACCGATTAACTGCTTAAATTTATTTTGAGACAGTTGAGTCTAGCTAATAAGTACCAACGGGCCGAATACCTGAGTTCAGGGAATTCTAGTAACTGACTTCTAACGTTTAATACCAGATCTGTTAATTGCACGTAACACAGGTATACGATATTATTAACTGAGCAACTTTTCGGGTACAAAGTTTTGCCTATTAACACAATAAGGTGGAACCAAAATGTTTGACAATTGGTTGTAATATCCTAATTCCTTGTCGTTCTTTCGGTAAAATGATAATAGAACATGTACTGAGACGTCCATATTGTAATTATCAGGCTTTAAATTAATAAAAAGGATTCCATAATATCTCTTACATTTCAAAAAAACTAAGGTATATTGATCTTAAAGAATACGGCTAAGTTTTACCCTAACTTGAGATGATGTATCAGTGCATAGATGGCAATAGCTGAGTTCTTTCTAGATTGCAAAACCTGGCGCTGTATATCTCAGCTATGACCTTATGCCCTGTCGATCTAGTTGACCCACAAATGATTATGTAGCATTTAACAGCATTATTAGGGTTGATAGTCCTGTAAACGTTTTCTAACTGAATCTGATGATGTTAATGGCAGCACAATTCTAGGGTTGCTAAGAATCCTGACAATAACAATTATGGACTTGTAATGCACAATCATAATTCCTCAGTCTGAGCAACCAACCACATAACCAATAACCTGCATACACAAAATATTTGACGTACTTTTTGACTATATATTTCAGTGTTAATAACTCTGCTGAAGTAGCCATGACTTTCACAGTAAAAAGCTCAAAAAAAAAAAATCCCCTTTTGATTTTCTAAACACCTTGGGATTATATTAAAATATATTCTTACAATGGTGAAGTCAGATTCAGTAACCAACTTCTTCCAGAGTATTCGTAGCAGCTATGACCTGGACGTTTATAATCCATGGTAAACTGTTTGATGTTCCTTAATGATATAGCCGGATTATCAAGTTAGTGGGTTCCTCATTAGTTAAGATGATAGGAGATACAAATAGGATAGGTAGAATTAGTCATATTTGACCAAAAATTAAAAGAAGACGTAACGGTATTTTGAAAACTAATTCCACAGAAAGCCATCGTATTCTATAGGATGTTTAAACTTTAGGTGAACAATTCTCAAATCATGTAGCACAGATCTAGAGAAAAAAAATCATGTGATCTACAGAAACGTGTTGATTCAACTTTTAGCAGCTGAAAGTTAACTTGCTCCCTCATGAAACGTGAATAATTGCATCATTAAAAGGTTAGGAAAAACTATCTATAAACTCTGGTGTCAAAAGAGTTGTTGAGAGTATGTATCATTTTTCTGTGGGATCTTAGATTAACGTTATTTTAAATACATGTTATGTAGTTCATTTTCTTCTAGATGTTCCAGTATTTTGATGTAAAAAGACAGATAATGGAAAATATTTTAAAGTTTTATAGTTCGTAACTGTGCTGAAGAACATCATAGCCAAAGTCAAATATGAACAGTTCCAATCTAAAGGCAGATAACTGGCTTTGTGCAGTTGATTTTACGGTTAGAGGATAAAGGTTATAATGTCCTAGTTTAAGTTGTATTAGTGATACTTCCATGCTCGGGTTTATGCAAGTTAAATTCCTCTTCAAGTGAACAATTATTTCACCCAAAATTTCCATTTATTATTATTATTATTTTCCCCTGGGTTCCTAGTGGAACATAGGACTTCACGCCTCCATTGCACTCTCTTCTCTGCAGTCTTTTGAACCTCGCTCTATGACTGCCCACAAGCTTACATTTCTTCCTCACATGATCTCCTCCATGTCACCCTCGGATATTCAACTCTTCGTTTCCCATTTGGATTCCACTCGAGTGACTGGGCTGGCGCGTGATGTCCCCGAGTGGTCTTTTCAGTGTATGCCCAATCCATCTCTACTTTCTTCTGCATATTCCATAGATATGCATATTTAAGCAGATCGTAGTAAGAATGCACAGTTTACCCGTTAGATAATGAATGTAAGATACAGAAAATGCGCTTTTATCAGTTTACCGACAAATAGAACTGTGGTGGTATCATCTTTTTTATAAGCAGTTATGTAGAAAGGATAAATGTTCCAAAATATAACTGTAAAGCAAAAATTTTAAACATCACCGCAATCACTAAAATCTGCAGACAGAAAGTCTATTAGAATGACAGAACTGTTAAGATCTTTGTGCAATTATCCATATCAAGATCCATGCAGCATGCCCTAAGGGAAATCATCACTAAATCTGATAATTAAGTCACTTGAATTATCGACAACATCTTTAGTTAAACTCACTTCGTGTAACCCTCTTCATTACAAATATTTATCAAATCATGGTAACTGAACTCACCTTCATAGTAAATTCTACTAGATAGCCAAAAAATACAACTATTCTTAAATGTCATAAATCCATCAATAAAATGAAATAAGAAGGCAGTACAAATAAAACTTATGAAGAAATCTGCCAAAGAAACGTATAAACAAATGATTAACAGTTAGGCATTATCTTTGCTGTCAATCAGAGTCAATTCAACTAATCTGTTCTAACCCCGCTCCTCTTCATGAGTTCATCACAGAAAAAAGGAATTTCAGCTTACGAAACGAATAGATAACGCTCCGCATAAAATATAATAGCAGTTTGAATATGATTCATAAACTTGCATACATTGTACAACTTTTTTGAAAGTTCTAAAATCTTTTTCTGATAAGCTTCTTTATTAGTTGGAGTTTTGAATTTGCATCAAAAGCATAGTGGTATGCTTAAGTATTTGCGTACATATGTATTTATGTGAAAATTGAATTCATTTACTTTGTACAGTTCGACTAACAGGTATACATAAATTGAGTGATGAAATATATCTTGTTTCATCACTGTGAGATGAGGCTATCTGAATAAGATCAGTTTCTTTGGTGAACTGATTTAGGGTATTAATAAAAATTTTGAAAATAACATATTCTGGAATACAAGTGAATAGATTTTAAAGACTAATGTATAGATGCTTCAAGCAAAGAGATTTCTCAAAAAACGGTAAATTTTGATAGCAACCTAATCAACAGTGAGCCAAAGGTTGAGAAAAATGAGAACTCACTAAAACAGCTATTCCATAGGATCCGCAACCCCTTAAAGAATGTGTGATTGGGTCTTTTAGGTTTTGGGATGTGTTATCTCACAAAGAAAAGAAGTCACTAGACTGGAAGTAACTGATGATTAATACGGCCATTAAGTAAGGATTTATCTTATACACCAAAATCACTGATTACTAGGATAAGAGGCTTCCGTCAAACTAAGAGATCTGCCGCTCTATATGACGTCATCAGTTTGAAAAAGTCGTTCCAAAAAATCTCACAAGTAGAGTATTCTACTATTTATTACTGCCAGAAATAATGCAACCAAGAAACAACTGAGCATATGTTCTACTATAATTTCCACTTATCAAAGAGGATCATGCTACAAAATATTTTACAAAGCCTATTACGTTGACGACTTGTTGATTATTTTCTGAATGCGAGTTCAAAGTGTCTTGATATAAACGCTATACCAACAAAGATACGCAGCTGTTTATCTTTATTGCTAAGTTAACAACTCTGGCGGGTAAGATTCTGTAAGCTACGTGAAACAGAAAGTATGACACTAGAGACCGTTCGGTAACAGATAAGAATAGTTGATTCATGTACGCAAAACGTCAATGACACCTGTTACCTGTAGAACAGCGTCACTAAGTAAGGCTGGTTTACACAACTCAGACATGTAATACATTTCACTAGTACGTGAAGCAGTTTGATAGTTACACTGATTAGTCACTGAAGAGTAACCAACTACATGTTATCTACTCTTAAGTGATGATCCAATTCTACTATGAATGTTTAATGTGGCCGTCGGGCTAGTTGACTGAAAATCGCGGTGCACTTTGGTAGATGCTAGTTAAATTGAGACAATCAGTAGGAAGACCTGGACTTAAGTTTCATGCTTTTTGACACCTGGCAGCAAAGCTTATCTGCAACCTCTATGAGATTGATGTCGTGACTCAGATTTGAACTTGCTTCATCTAGTGATGCAGTCAAAAACATTACTATTTAGCTTTTCGGGCTGTAACCGAATGGATTAAGTATATCGGTTGGTCTTAATAATAATAATAATAACAATAATCACTGTTCCGAACAACTTTGGTACAATTTGAAATTCTCAGCAAGATATATTGCAACGAAAAATATATACATATGCATATATACTCTGCAACATTTCGAATATGGTTATTATAAGAATTTGATTAATATAAAGTATATTAATAAAGAGAAAGTTTTACATTGTTAGTTAAATTATTGGGATAAAATTAATAACTTCTACAAGGTTGATATGTGAGCTCTGTTCTAACACTTATTTCCACGTAATATACGTGCTAGGTAAGGTACAGTCGAATTTTTGTACTCAGCCGTACGATAGTAAAGTCTCGTGTAACTCCTTCCTGTTCTCCTTGAGAGATACGAGAAAAGAGGTATGAGCGAAATGGATGTTCGTTGTCAGTCAAAATTACTGCAGCTAGTTGCTTTCTAGAATTTAAATGTCTGTGAACTACAGTTTTAATCAGTTAGACCAGAGGCATAGCGCTCACTGCTGACCGCTTTCAAAGCCCTTAGAGCAGCATAACATAGTTGACCAAGAACGAACAACGGGAAACAGTAGAGAAAAATAGGTAAAATGTAGGAGTTAATAAACTGTAAAAGTAGAGGCTGAGTTATACCGCAGAGACTCAGTTTCTTTATGTAATACCTTAAACGGAAGATTTTTTAGCAAGTCAACAAGATATGAAACGACCAACAAGGATCAGAAATAAAACTCAGTACAAGATAGTCAACACTCGATTTGCTTCCTACAGAAATACCATCAGTGCAACAGCCTTCATGGGACTTAAATAGCTCACAC